TTTGTAAAGGGGAATTACAACTCATTGACATGCTAGAGTTCTTTGAGGGCATCAGCAAGCATGTGGATCGTGGTGATCATGTATCAGTAACTACTTAAAGGAGAGGAACTAAAGGGGATGTATGAGGGGTCAGTTCTTACAAGGATGAGCGGTAAACAGCATATCTGTTCCCACATCTAAATGCCTAAATGGGAGTTAGGTTACGTTGCCCAACCTGTTTTTGTGGCTGCATCCCTATAGAGTGCAAGGTGAAACTCTAAAGGAGGCTATGGGGCTGGCACAGAGCCCAGAAAGTCTGTGTACCTAGTGCATCGCATGAATGCATTAAGTACACACTGCAGACAAGTTACACATGCTTCAGGAGTCAGTATAAGTACAGCTCTGGTTCTGTAGTAAACAGGAGAATGTAAAGATGTTCACACTTTGTGTTGACTAAGGTTAGGGTTGAATGTGTTTTCTTCTAATCCCTCATAGCAGGTGACTGCAAGTTTTGAAATGTTTGTTTTTGCTTTGCACAGGAGCTGTGGAAGGTTGTTGCTGAACCACAGATGTGATGGACAGCAGAAGAACGCCTTTCTTTGGGGTGGTGATGGTATCCTAAGCCTTTTAGCACGTCCACATAGAGCTGCTTTGGAGAAAGCATGCGTTCTGTGGGAATGGTCTCAGTGACTGAAAAGGATACCGTCTCACCTTGGTTAAATAAATATTTATAGCAGTCATAGCAGTTTGAGGCTGAAGTGGGTTACTGGTCAGTGCTGCTCCATGTGATGGGATTCTTTTTTTTTGTCAAGTTTGAGAAATGTCTTGGACACAGTGGCTGTCAGTGCTCTGTGCTCTTCCTTGATAGCAGCTCTCTGAGGTTAGAAGTAGCATGGCAGCATGCACTAATTGAGCATGGTGAAGATTTTCTCTGAGCATATTGGCTCATTTGGAAAGGCCAGAAATGGACAAATGGAGCATGGCAGATCTAGTGAACAGCAGGTTGGTCAGTCTCAGCATAACATGAAGGAGCCACAGCACAGTTGGGAGAACTTGTTATCAAGTGGTTGGAGGCTGAACCAGCACTGATGAGCATCCTGGGGAGGGGTCTTGAGAGAAAATCGTGCTTAAATAGGGTGTTCACCTGTCCCAGTTTAGCCAGGACAGTCCTGGATTTCAGAGGCTGGTCCCAGCCAGTTATTGAGAATTATAAGGGGTATTCCAGAAATGCAGGGGCACAGAGCTCAGTCTAGCCAGGAGCCAGAGCAGTGCAGAGCACCTTGCAGGCAGGCAGGCACCTGGGTGGAGGGAGGGGGAGGGTAGTGTCCTGAAGGGTGTCCCAGGTTTCCTTGTGGTCAGCTTATGTTTAAGAAACTCAATTTCCTTAGGCAATGGAGGGCAATTGGCCTGCCTCATCTTTCAACATTTTTAGTAAAAGGAGATTAAGATGTGATGTGATCAATCTTTACAGGATGCTTGCATGGAAAATGCAAGGGAAGGAGAAAAGCTTTTTATGTAACCAGGATTTTTCTGTTAGATGAAAATGCATTTCAGTCCCACCAGACAACTTGAGTGCAAACACTGAAGTTCCTTCTGCAGAACCTGAATCCTTTCAAAGTAAGTTGTTACAGGTAACATTGCCATACCAACCACCATTGACCCAACCAAATCCTGATCCCAGCCTTTTATGATGACTCACTGCTTATGACCGTGTTGAGCCTCACCGAATTCCAGCAAGTAGCTCCTAGAATAACACATTCAAACCAGGCAGTTAGGATTCCTAACCTCCTTTGTCCAGGCAGATTTCAGCCAACAGGAAACTTGTCCTATACAGCATCCAGTAGGGGAACAGAAGCCAACCACCAATCTTGTGCCTTGTCTTCTCACCAAGTACTTCACTTCTGTTATTTAATTATGGCACAAGCTGGTTGCCAAGTTCTCCACTTGTGGCAATAAAACACCCCTTGGCCAGTGCAAAAGAAAAATATTGTTATCTGGGAAGTTCCCAGCAATTGAGCAATGATGCAGATATTGTAGTGTCCTATTACCACCAGCAACAGCGTACCTCTTTCATGTATACATTGAGGATCTTTATTTTGGGCCATATTTAAGCAGAAGTTGCTGCTGCTGCACCAAAAGACACTAAACTGCTTAAGGAGGAATTTAAATGGACAGAGAAAAAAAAGCCAAGAACTCCTTAGATTGTCTCAATTATTTCCCTTTGCGATTACTTCAGAATCCCAGTACCACATCTCCAGGAAACTGAAGCATCCTTAGTATTCTTCTGTTAGTTACTTACTGAAAGTTACATTGGCTAGTTCTCTACCTCTTATGTTCCCTGCCATTGGACATCCACTAGTTAGAGGACTGTCCAGTCCAGCCATCTGCAACATCTACAGTTGCCCCAGCTAATAGCATTCTATGCAGGCCAGGATAAGAAGACAGTACCAGGGACATCCTCTTACTCAAGGGCTACTAGGAAAGAGGGCATTCTTTCTCAAGGCTCCAGAAATGCAGGCTGGGAACAGCCAATGCCAGTACAATATATTGGCTTCAATCATTATCTCTACACATGGCAATTTCCAGCAACGTCCACAGTGTGGATTCATGTTGCTACATAGCAGCCACATGCAGTAGATCTGAATGCTAAGAGAGTTAGAGCGTATTGAGTTTCCACACCTTTAATATGTCTCCAGATTTACCAAGTTTTATGGATTCCTCATCAGATTTCCCTCCAGTTAGTCATTCAGTACACATCCATTAGGTGTCTCTACTTTATTCTCAGTTTCTCCGTGTTCACATTGTGTATGGGAATGTTAATGCATACAATGCTTCAATAAATCTCTTCCCTGTTACGCATCATGTGTTCTTCATTCCCAAAATGTGGGTATATGTTGTTTAAACACCACTGGCACTTACTCATTTATCATTGGCCCAGCAATCTTCCAGTGTCCCCTCATGCTTGAAAGGATCAACCTAGAATGGGGCATCATTGCTCATGTAGCTTTTTGTCCCATAGTCTGCAGATGCTTCCTCAGTCTGACAAAGGGTGTTTTGTTCCTGAAAGCTTGCTAAGTAGAATTTTTCCAACTATTTGAGTTGGTCAAATAAAAGATACCTGCTTTAGCTAAAGAACTTTGTCTACATACTTTACAGGGCAGCGGTTCCCAATCTGAGATACAGGTGCCACCGGTGGTTTGTAGACAGCCTGTCAGTGGTACGCATTAACAGATTTATTATAATTATATGACAAAATTTGCTGGTGGCACTTAAGGTTGTATTGTTTTAAATTGGTGGTGCACAATCTGCCAGAGTTTGGGAACCACTGTCATAGAGCATAAAAAAGACAGCCGAATAGATGTACTTCAAACAGCAGGCCACATTCTTACCATGCCTTTCCAAGGCCTTGTGCCACAATACAAATGCTTCAGTGTGGACTATGCAAAGATTATGTAACATATATTCAGAAAGCTTGCTGTCTTTAGGGCTAAAACACCATGAAAAGAGAACCAAGTAGCTCTTCCTCTGTCACTTCAAAGTCTCCTGCTTGCAATAATTAGTGACATGAACTCTTAACAGCATGATTTGGCCTGCTCAATTGACTTGAAGTCCATAAGGACCTAGACCTCATGCTATTAGATCTAGTTCCTGAAACCCATATCTATTTTTAACACTAACCATGATGAATGGCTTGTGGAAAACAACCCTGGCTTGCAGTGCATGAGAGGGCCACTGTGCCAAGTCAAGATTTTATTGATTGCCTCCTTAATTCATACTTTATTATTGACTGTCACCCTGATTGCTTGCCTCTGATAGAACAGACTCCAATGCACATCATTACAGCAGGGCTGCTTGCCAGCCTCTGCTTGCTGAGAAGGCCTTTTTACAGTAAGAAAAACTGACATGGTAACCACACCTAAGCCACCTCTAAGACAGGGGAATTTGGCTCCCCAGCTTGTTTAGCATTAGCTAGGGCAGTACAGGTTTTGTTTATGATTATGTCCACATATGAGACTGCTGAGGACTGAGCCCCATGTTTTTGCAGGGAGGAAGGGGATGGAAAGATGCAGTTTCTTTGGTGACATGCCATAATCACTAGGGTCTCCCAAACTTTTTGCACCCTGTGAACATCTTCAGGAGATGTTCTGTTGGACAGTTCCTGAGGGTAACACCAGCCATTGCAACAGCAGAGAAGCTTTGAGCCATGTTGTGCCTTTTAGGTTAAACTTCAGTTGGCTTTTCAAAAATTGAGGGACTCCTTTGACAGCACTGTGGCTGTGTGCTTGGGAGTTGAGACCTTACTGGTAAAATAATAGCTTTTATGAAATACTGTAACAATGAACAGAAGGTAATAGAAAATCCACAAGCAGCATGGTTTTCTACTTGTTCCTTATGAGCAGGGAATCCGGGTTTTCTGTTTCCCATGGAATAACGGAGTAAAATATGGATTTCTTATTTTAGGAGAGAAACCCGTGGGTTTTGCAATGAGCCCTCTGCAGGCTGGTAGAGTTCTAGCCTGCAAGGGTCTGGGAGGGAGCAGGAGGAGGGCGGTCACTCAGGGGGGTGCCATGTACATGTATATGTGCATGGCCCCAGGCAGCCTGGACAGCACCTCCTGCAGTTAAGTGGGGGGTGGGAGAGGTGATTGAGGCCCTCATAGGGAAGGAGGGAGGGTTAGGGCTGCTGCCCAGTCGGGCAGTGTGTGGGCTTTGGGGCCCAGGGCTCCAGCAGGAAACAAGACGGCTCATGGGAGTGGGGGGGCATGGTTCCGTGCTGCAGCACACACTGGGGGCAGTGGGCAGGAGACCCGTGCCCCACCAGATCTATGCACAGGGGAGGAGCAGGGCAGGCTGCTTACTGTGGGCTCAGGCTCCTGCCTTCACAGGGCCTCTACAGCCTGGCATGTGCGACCTAGCACTGCAGGGTAGAGCATGGCTATACAGGAAAACTGCTTGCTGCTGGCCTGGCAATGTATCCCCTGCATGCAAGGGGGCAGTGCAGGTGGTGGTGCAGGGTTGTGGCCCTCACTGGTGCAGTGCATGCAGGAGATGCATTGCCAGGGCAGTGTGGAGCTCACAGCTGCAAGCAGCTTTCCTTTATGCCCCAGCTCTGCCCTGCAGTGTTGGGTTGCACCCATGGGCTGCAGAGGCCCCAGTGGAGAGCACCAGGGTGGGAGCCTGAGCCCACAGTATGCATCTGCCCCATGTATAGATCTGGGGGGTGAAGGGTCCCCCCTGTTCCCCGGGAGTACACGGAGCTGCAGGGAACTGGCCCCCCCTGCCTGAGCCCGCAGCAGAGGGGGAAGCCAGCTCCGTGCTGTGCTCCGTTCTGTTGCAGCAGCCACTGGTTTCTGTCAGGGGAAGGGGGTTGCGGACCTGGGTCCCTGACCCCATAGCCCTGGTAGCTGGGGGCCCCCTCTGGCACAGTTTGGGGGGCAGGGGCTGTGGGGAGGGTGCAAGGGGCACCAGCAGGGGTGGGGGGGCCTGTGGTGGGGGAGTGAGGGACACCAGCAGTGCTGGGGGGGGGAGAGGGTGCAGGCTGTCGGGGGCTTTTAATTTTAATTATGGATTTGGGGGCTTTTTATCAGAGGAATTGCAATTTTTTTTATCAGAGAATTTTTCATAGATTTCATAGACATCAGGGCTGGAAGGGACCTCGGAAGATCATCGAGTCCAGCCCCCTGCCCAAAGGGCAGGAAGTCAGCTGGGGTCATAGTGATAAGCACCCCTTGTTTCAGGGGCACCTGGCTAAACCCCTAGGGACAGAGGTAGGGCTGGAAGCCATGTCCAGCAGAGATCCCTTGAACTCTTACTATGCATTTTCTACTTCAGGAACAGCTTTGTGTTCTGAAAAAAGTATTTTATCTAACCAAGGGCATACAGTAGGTTGTTTAGGCTGGGGGAGATCGCTTGTTGCTTAGTTGTTTATAATTGCTGGCCTTGCTAGAGGAAAAGCTGTATCAACAAAGTTCCGGAGCTGGAAGGGGGGTTACTTGCTGGGCTTGCTACACATTTCATCACATCAGCAGGTTTAACCTGTTACGTAGCTATATAAGGCAGACGCCCACTGGGGTGGGTGTGCTTGCTTTGCGAACGATTGCCAAGCACCATTTTCTGCGCAGGAAATAAAGGTTAAGTTGGATCCTTCACCCCTGTGTGTTTATTGGCACAAGCGCACCGGGCACGAACTCACTGTCCTTTGGGGACAACA